AAGTTCCGATTCACCTTGTGATAGTTCGGTGATGTTTCCCCTTCATAGATTGCTTCAAATCTTGTGTTTCCACTGATTTGGGTACTTGGGTAAGCTGCGATTCACCTTGTGATAGTTCGGTGANTGATGTTTCCCCTTCATAGATTGCTTCAAATCTTGTGTTTCCACTGATTTGGGTACTTGGGTAAGCTGCGATTCACCTTGTGATAGTTCGGTGATGTTTCCCCTTCATACATTAATTCAAATCTTGAGTTTTCCCTGATTTGGGGGCTTGGGTAAGTTACGATTCACCTTGTGATAATTCGGTGAGAGTTTCCTCTTCATAGATTGCTTCAAAAGTTCTGTTTTCACAGATTTGGGGGCTTGGATAAGTTGCGATTCACCTTGTGATAGTTCGGTGATGTTTCCCCTTCATAGATTGCTTCAAATCTTGTGTTTTGACTGATTTGGGTACTAAGGTAAGTTGCGATTCACCTTGTGATAGTTCGGTGATGTTTCCTTTTCATAGATTGCTTCAAAGCTTGTGTTTTCACTGATTTGGGGGCTTGGGTAAGTTGCGATTCACCTTGTGATAGTTCGGTGATGTTTCCCCCTCATAGATTGCTTCAAAACTTGTGTTTTCACTGATTTGGGGGCTTGTGTAAGTTACGATTCACCTTGTGATAGTTCGGTGATGTTTCCCCTTCATAGATTGCTTCATATCTTGTGTTTCCACTGATTTGGTTACTTGGGTAAGCTGCGATTCACCTTGTGATAGTTCGGTGATGTTTCCCTTTCATAGAGTGCTTCAATCTTGAGTTTTCTCTGATTTGGGGTATTTGTATAAGTGGCGATTCACCTTGTGATAGTTCAGTGATGTTTCTTCTTCATAGATTGCTTCAAAACCTGTGTTTTCACTGATTTGGGGGCTTGGATAAGTTGCAATTCACCTTGTGGTAGTTCGGTGATGTTTCCCCTTCATAGATTGCTTCAAATCTTTTGTTTTCACTAATTTGCGTACTTGGGAAAACAGCGATTCACCTTGTGATAATTCGGTGATGTTTCCTCTTCATAGATTGCTTCAAAGCTTATGTTTTCACTGATTTGGGAGTTTCGGTAAGTTGCGATTCACCTTGTGATAGCTCGATGATGTTTCCCCTTCAAAGATTGCTTCAAATCTTGAGTTTTCACTGATTTGGGGGCTTGGGTAAGTTGCGATTCACCTTGTGATAGTTCGGTGATGTTTCCCCTTAATAGATTGCTTCAAATCTTGTGTTTCCACT